AGAGAGAGAGAGAATGGTGATGAGTTGGCCGTTTTTAATGGAATTTGTTATAAGGTATTTGCAAGGCAAGTTCAAAGATTCAGCTCAGTCCCCAGAACCCACTTGACAGCCAATCTAACCTTCTAGACAAACTCTAGGCCAGTGAGATACCCTGCCCCTAAAAACAAGGTGGAAGTCTCCTGAAGACAGAAGATAGGTAGACAGACAGACAGACAGATAGCAACTTGCTAAGTATATTTAGTGTTGCTCGTGTGTATGTGTCATAAAAGTGGATAACCTGCTAGGGGCTTCATCCCTAAAGGAGACTAATTCTCCCTCTCCTAGCAACAATTCATTGCCTATAGCTCTTCATCTAGGCTCGGGGCTCTCTGACAGATTTCCCCCTTCACGTTGGAAGGTCAACCTGTGAGCTTTCGTAGGCTGGTCAAGGCAACCATGTTAAGATTTCATGGTTGCAACTCCCTCTCATGTATACAAGACACTGTTTTGTAGCAGACATTCTGATCCTCTGACTCTTACAATCTTTCTGTCCCCTCTTCGTCAATTTTCCCTAGGCCCTATGATAGATATTATGTTGTGAATGTATCGATTGGAGCTGGGAAGCACACAGTGAGTGAGGTGTCTGCATTTTTGACCAGTTATGGATTTCTGAGATGATCTATAGATTGAAGGATCGGTGTCTAGAATGCAGTTTGGAATTATACTGGCTTAGGAAGCTGGCAGTAGTAGATTCTCTTCCACAGTCCATGACCTCACTAGCCACAGATAGTTGCTTAGATTTACAGGACCAGGCATGAATTCCATCCTATGCTGTGGGCTTTAAATCTAATTAAGTGTCTGTTGGTTACCCACAAATATAAATGTCACTATTGTACCCTTGGGTATTATATTAATTACTTTTCTATTGCTGTGATAAAATACCATTACCATGGCTATTTGTAGAAGGAAGGGCTTCTTTGTGCTTATGGTTCCAGGAAGACATGATCCCATCACCACCATCCTGAGGAAGAATGGCAGGAGGCAAGCATGGCAGCGGGAGCAGCAAGCCGAGAGCTCACACCCTCAACTGCAAGCAGGAAGCAGAGAGAGAGAATTGAGAATCAGGTGTGGCTTTGAAACATTAACCTGTCCTTACCCCATGACATACTTCCTCCAGCAAGGCCATACCTTCTAAAGCTTCCCCCAAAGTACCATCACCTGGGTACCAGGTATCCAAACACCCTAGCCTGTGGGAGACGTCCTCATTCAGACGGCTCCTGCTATATCCTGCTGCGTTCCTCCTTGCTGTTCAACCTTTACCTGATCACATCTAGTCATTAGCTCAACCGTGTAACAAAATCGTATACAGCGGGATGTTCCTTCTTCTGGCTCCTACTCTAGGTAAAAGTGCCACACACTCTAGGATCAACAGCTTCAACAGATAAATGAAAGTGGTATGAGCAGGCATGGAAGATTCCCAGATCAGTAAATATAAATCAACGCGTGGCAAGCAAAGGGTCTCTACATTGCTAAGTTTCTCTTCAATTCTTGGGGACAATTCAGGTGAAAAGACAGGGCACCTAAGCATGTCAGCAGCCTGTGAGAGTCCAGTTACTTTCTCTCTCTCTCTCTCTCTCTCTCTCTCTCTCTCTCTCTCTCTCTCTCTCTCTCTCTCTCTCTCTTTCTCTCTCTCTCCTATATTCAAGCTTCTCTACAAGAATTGTCTTTCCTCAAGCTTTCTTGTTCTCTGTGCCAGTATAATTTATATGTACAGATGTGGGTTAAGTTTCTTAACTGATGACATTTTTAGCTAGCTTGCTCTTTATTACTTAGCTTATAATTTTTTTAGTTTTAAATAGATGCTATGTTTACATGATCCAAGACTCAAAGGATATGGAAAGGCTTGGTATGCAGAATCTCTTCCCTATGGCTACCACCCAATCCTATTCTGCACTAGCCTACAAGACCTTTGAGTTTCCTAAGTTTAACTGTCACTGATTTGAGAATAGGTCATCCAGCTACCTCAAGGTAAGACCCTGTTAAAGGGAATTCAGGGAACTTGGAAATAATAATCTACTAGCAAGGGCAAAAAGTATTTCTGCACTATAACCCATTAAAAAATTTTAGTGTAAAACACTAGTGTGTAAGGCCTAACTAGTAATGTTACCTATAAATAATTTGGTTTCTTGTATGTTCTTCCAAGGCCATTTGAGCAGATATAAACACCAAAGGAATTTTAGTATATAGTCTTGCTGTGGTGTTGGTGAGTGTTGCCAGGAGCTCAGCCCTTGGTCTGTAGAACTGCTGAAGGATAGTGATCCTTGTTGGTAGGGCCAAGTGAGAGAGTTGAATCACAGGAAATGTGTCACTGAAAGTAGTACTGGGAACTTCCTGTTTCCTTTCCCTTTCTGAGTCTGAGCCTTGAGTTGATCAGCTCCCACGA